GCTTTTTTGGGACGTTTTGGTAGCAACTTTGAAGAGCAGCTTTGGGGAGCAACTGTGGGGAGCAACTTTGCGGCTTTGCAGCAGCATTGACAGACAGTTGCCTTGAAGAACGACAATTTTGGGGTGTAGCTTCAAAAAAATACTTTGGGAAGCCGCTTTCGGAAGCAACTTTCGGGGGTAGGCTTAGCAACTTTGGGGCGCAGCTTTCGGGAGCCGCTTTGCAGAATGGCTTTTGGGAGACGTTTTGATGAACAGGTTTGCAGAATCGCAGCTTTGGGGCGCCAGCTTTGGAGAACAGCTTTGGGCGTAACTTTGGGGAACATCGCCGGGGAACAGCTTCGGGTAGCAGCTTTAGGGAGCAGCTTTGAGGAGCACTTTGCACGGCAGCTTTGAAGAACCGTAGCTTTGGGAAACACCTCTGGGGAGGGGAGTAGCTTTAGAACGCAACTTTGGGGAGCAATTTTCGGCAGCAACTTTGGGGAGAAGCTTTCCGCAGCTTTGGGGAATAGCTTTGGGCAAAACTTTGGGGAGCAGCGTAGCGCAGGGGAACAGCCTTGGGGAGCAGCTTTAGGGAGGAACTTTGAGGAGCACCTCTGCGCGGCAGCTTTGAAGAACCGCAGCTTTGTGGAGCAATTTTGGGGAGCAGCTTTCGGGAGCCGCTTTGGAGAATAGCTTTGGGGTATAGGTTTGAAGCATGGCCGCCTTGGGGCAACTGCTTTGCAGAGGTGCTTTGGAAAATAAGTTTGGGTAATTGTGGGGAGCAACTTTGCGGCTTTGTAGCAGCATTGACGGACAGTTATTTTGAAGAACGATAGCTTTGGGGAGTAGCTTTAGAAAATAATTTGAGAAGCCGCTTTTGGAAACAACTTTCGGGGGCAGGTTGGCAACTTTGGGGCGCAGCTTTCGGGAGCCGCTTTACAGAATGGCTTTGGGGAGACATTTTGGTGAACAGGTTTGCTGAATCGCAGCTTTGGGGCAACAATTTTGGAGAACAGCTTTGGGCACAACTTTGGGAGCATCGCCGGGGAACAGCTTTGGGGAGCAACTTTGAGGAGCAACTTTGCACGGCAGTTTTGAAGAACCTTAGCTGTGGGGAGCACCTTTGGAGCTTTTGGGGAGTAGCTTAAAAACGCAATTTTGGGAAGCAATTTTCGGCAACAACTTTGGGGAGCAACTTTCCGCAGCAGCTTTGGAGAATAACTTTGGGCAGAACTTTGGGGAACAACTTTGGAGAGCAACTTTGGGCACAACTTTGGGGAGCAGTACCGGGGAACAGCTTTGTAGAACAACTTTAGGAGGAGCTTTGAGGAGCAGCTTTGTACGGCAGCTTTGAAGAACCTTAGCTTTGGGGAACACCTTTTTGGATACGTAACTTTGGGGAGTAGCTTTCGGCAGCAACTTTGGGGAGCAACTTTTCGGGAGCCGCTTTGGAGACTAGCTTTGGTGAGCAGGTTTGAAGCATAGCCGCTTTGGGGAAACCGCTTTGCAGAGGTGCTTTGGAGAATAGCTTTGGGCAGCAACTTCGGGGAACCGCTTTGGGGAATAACTTTGATAAGCTGTCCGGAATAATATTCAGGAGCAATTATTTTGAAGAACAGCAACTTTCGGGGGCAGCTCTGCAAACAACTTCGGGGAGCAGCTTTCAGTAGCAACTTTCGGGAACAGCTTTCGGGAGCCGCTTTGCAGAATAGCTTTGGGGAGCCGTTTTGGGGTATAGGTTTGAAGAATTGCAGCTTTGGGGCAATAGCTTTGGACAGCAGCTTTTGGTAGCAAGTTTGGGGCGCAGCTTTTGGGAGCCGCTTTGCAGAATGGCTTTGGGGAGCCAATTTGGTGAACAAATTTGCAGAATTGTAGCTTTAGGGCATTAGCTTTGGAGAACAGCTTTGGGGCACAATTTTGGGGAGCAGCGCCGGGGAACAGCTTTGGGTATAGGCTTTGGGCAACAACTTTGGACAGCTTTCTAGACGAACTGGCAGCTTCGGGCAGCAGCATTGGAATTTTATGGAATTTGGGAAACTTCTTTGGGACGCGATTTTCGGTAGCAATTTTGAAGAGCAACTTGGGGAACAACTGTGGGGAGCAATTTTGCGGCTTTGAAAGCAGCATTGACGGATAATTGGTTTGAAAAACGATAATTTTGGGGAATAGTTTTAGAAAATAACTTTGGAAGCCGCTTTCGTAATCAATTCTCGGGGGCAAGCTTAGCAACTGTTCGGAGCAGCTTTGAGGCGGAGCAACACTGAACAACAACTTTGAATGAGGAGTACCTTTGGGAAGTAGCTTTAAAACGCAATTTTAGGAGCAGCTTTCGGCAACAACTTTGGGGAGCAGCTTTCGGGAGCCGCTTATTTTGGAGAATAGTTTTGGGGAACAGGTTTGAAGCATAGCCGCTTTGGGACAACCGCTTTACAGAGGTACTTTGGGGAACAACTTTGGGAAGCAGGAACTGCTTTAGGGAGTAACTTTAGCAAATTTTCCGGAACAATTTTAAGAATTATTTTTTTTGAAGAATATTAATTCTGGGGAGCAGCTTGCGGGGGCAACTTTACAAATTATTTCGGGGAGCAGCTCTTAATAGCAACTTTGGGGAGCACCTTTCAGGATTTTGGGATATAAATTTGAAGAATCGCAGCGTTGGGACAATAACTGCTGTCCAGGAACAACTTTAAGAACAACTTTGGACAATTTTTTCTTCGCTTGCTTTGAAGAATAACAACTTTCGGGCACGCATTTACAAGGAATTTCGGGGAATAATTTTCAGTAGCAATTTTGAATAATTTTGGGCAGCTGCTTCCGGAACATTTTTGGGAACAGCATTGGGGACTAGCTTTGAAATTATGGAGAGCTGCTCTGGGGCAGCTTCGGGGACTAGCTTTGGAGAACAAATTTCGGGAAGAATTTTGGGGAGCAGCTTTGTGATCAGCTTTCTGGAATAATTATGGACCTTGCTATGCGCGAACTGATGACGTAACTTTGGGAAACCGCTTTGGGAATTAGCGTTTGGTAGCAACTTTGGGGAGCATTTGGTAGTACGTGAAGAATCGCGGATTTCTGATTGATATTCTTAACTACCTATATTTTCTGCTTTTTTCTTTATTGGCAAGGCTGGAATTAGTGTTCTCCTGAATTTGTTGGCTCATTTCGGAATTAGTCAATTTATTTTATATCCCCCCCTTTAATCCTGGAATATTTAGGGGGGGTAAGCCAAGAAATTTCCGAGAAATATTTCACCTGACCACGTGAAATATACCCTTCCTACGTATTTTTTGGGCTTCCAAAAGGCGTGGGGGGGGGGTCCTCCGGATGTTTGATGCCACATTTTTAGCTGAAATATTTCCAGGTGTGGGGGGGGCGGAGAACCCCCCTTTTTGAAATATTTTAATTTTTATCCCTCCCCCTTAAAAGGGGGGAATTATTTTATGAGGGATTATATTAATAAATTATAATTTGGATTTGATAATTATAATATATATTTTTCTTTCTTATGGTTATGGTTATTAGCAAGGCCCCGCCTGACCTCCTAGGTTTTTTTTTGGGTTTGAAATTTTAATTTTGAATATATATATATATTTTTAATGATTATGATTCATTATAATTTCGGAAATTTTGATTTATGAATTAGTATAGCTATACGGAATTAAATATATAATGTTATAAAATATTTTGGTTGATATTTTGATGTATTTTTTGGGTTTGTATTTTTTATTTATATTCCTATTGGTAAATAACTTATTAAATTAGTCCGCCGAAAATTTGGAAATTGGAATTTATAACCATTCACCATTCCTGCAGGATATAAATTCTAATTTATTAATTTAATTTAATAATATTATTTTGAATTATTCTTATTTTAAAACAATATCAATATATCTTAAATATATTAATTCTTATTCCTATCGTAATTCCCCGCTATTGGAAACAACGGACCGACCCTAATATAATAACATTAATTTAATTAATTTATTTATAATATATATATATATTTAATTTTTAAAATCTATTTTTATAATTTTTAATAATTATATCTATTACATTTAAATATTATATTTTTAAAATCTTTATATTTAAAAAAAATAAAATTTAATTAATATCATTATTATTTATATTTTTATTTTTTATTTTTAATTTATATCTTAATAATTAAATTATATAATATATTATTTATTTTTTAAATATTAAATATATTCAATTTTAAAATATATTTAAATTTAAATATATATTTATAATTATATTATTATCATTATATTTAATATTTTTAAAAATTTTTAATAATTTTAATTAATTTATTAATATATTTATATTTATTTTAAAAAATATAAATTAATATTTATTTTTATTAATATAAATTATTTTTTAAAATATTATTATTTTTTAAAAAAATATATATTTTATAATAATTTATTTAATAAAATTAAAATAAAATAAATATATGAATAAAAATATTTAAATAATAAATATATATTTAAATTTTTGAAAAATAATATTATTAAAATTTTTATTGAAATAAATAGGAGAAATTTAGGATAATTATTTTAGAATGAATAATAGGGATTTTTTTTTTTGATATATAAAATAATATTTTTCTGAAATATTTATAAAATAAATACTGGGGTGATGTTAGCATAGTCAAATAGTACTTTGTTTCTTTGAAGTTGTAGTTTCTTTGTTTCACATGATTTATAGCGATTATCCATATAACCCATTATCAATGTAATCCCAAAACCCAAAAGCCTATGACCCAAGGCAATTTTTCAATTCGTGGGATATTACTACTTTTTACTTTAATAATCCATCAATAATAATGGATCATAATGAATGGTATCAATGATTGATACCATTCATTATGATTCATTATTAATCTGAATTATGGGAACTACTAAGAGACTAAAGTTCAATTATAATAAATATCATTTCCCTGAGATTAATCAAACTACTGTTGGGATTCACCTATTACCCCATTATATTATTATTCACCCCATTATTCCCCATCATCATTCCCATCAGCCACGCGGTGGTGGCTTCCTGGTGGCCTGCTCCATCCGCCTGGGGCCTCAGGGGTCCGAGCGGAAGGAGCGATGTCACCATCTATCCACAGATTATACACTAGTCAGTCAGTGATATTATGATTCTGGAATACTTATTATTAATAATTAAATTAAATTACTTGAAATTTTATTCAAGTAATAATAAAATAATAAGGAGTATTCCAGAATCATAATATTACTGACTTCCAGAATGGATAGATGGGTGGTTCATATGTAAGTAATCTAGATTGTCATTGGGATTGTTGAATCTGAAGATGGTAGTGGGGATTCCCAAGAGCTAACATTGATCAATGGCGGGTCATTGATGATCATAATGCGAAGTCACCAGTTGATACAATGGCCCAAAAATGATCATGAGAATCCTGGGTGCCATGGTCCACCACCGCAACCCATCCCTGAAAACGCGATTAGTTTTCCTCATCTTGTGGACCATCCCATCGCTCGATTGAGCTCTTCTAAGATCCTTGTTGCTACAGGCAACGGCCATGCGTTTCCCAACGCTAGCCCGTACTCGCGGACGCTCAACTCCATAGTCTTCTCTGAAGACCACCCTTGCAGCTCCGCTTTCTCCTAGCCACCGTTAAGATGGGGCCATGTTACACTATGCATGACATAATGACCTCAAACCTTAAACTTGGGATTAGCTTATTAATACAAAAATTATGTTGATTTTCATTAGCTAGTTTGAAAATAACCAGGTAATCCCAAATTCACTGTTTGGGCTCATTATGAGTGAACAAACATGTAACCGGCCAACTACGAATTACAAGGATAACGATAATGGCATCGATCATTGTTATATCGATTGCATTATTTTATTGTTTTTCTGTTTTGCCAATTGGCACACCCAATGCTACTATCATTGCTGTTATCGTTTACCAACAATCCTTGACTCAGGTGTAACCCTTCCTACTACCTTGGCTCTGCCGGTGATCCTTGGCACGTGGGTCAGCTCGGTTGTTGGGATACCATGTTGATGGGTGGAATAAAAGTAGTTAATTGAATGATCCGCTATAGTGATAGTATCATGTTTAAAGTTATTAGAATGAATGATGCTATAGTTACTTATTATTATCATTCTAATTAAACATGGTACTATCACTATAGCGTATCGTTCAATTGGTTAAACAGGTACTGGTCCACCGACAATAATGATTAATGCATTTCAATGACATAGTAGTAGCCTGTTGCAATAATATTTAAAATATGATTATTTGTTCATGGTCAGTTATCATCCCCACTATTACCAGGAAGAACAACCAGAATCAGGTGTCCTTCAAGTTCAAGAATCTCTGATGGCTGGTCACCCAAAACGAATCAGCGCCGGATCTGGCCCTCGTGAGGCATGGTGTCCTTAGATAAGTAGGATGGATTATTATGGCATCCCCACGCAAACTGGATTAGGTATTTCCATTGAAATTTGGCCCAGCCAAGTTGCATGTTCAAGCTGGGTTGTCCTTGAAACTTGCTGGATGCGGCCACATCGATCACCCTGAGTGGGCCATGAAAAAAATAAGTTTTGCAAAATTGGAAGTAGTTCATCAAGATATCAATGACAATGTTTCCCATGCAAAATTGAAAGTAGTTCATCAAGATATCAATGACACTGTTTCCCATGCAAAATTGAAAGTAATTTATCAAGATATCAATGACACTGTTTCCCATGCAAAATTGAAAGTAGTTCATCAAGATATCAATGACACTGTTTCCCATGCAAAATTGAAAGTAATTCATCAAGATATCAATGACACTGTTTCCCATGCAAAATTGAAAGTAGATGCGGTTGGGGAACCAGCTATCGCGGAGATCTCCACCCATCTCCACGACCTTTTCCATACCGGCTAGTAACCTCTTTCGGGCACCGCATGTCTTTGGGAACTCAGGGGATTCAGCTTTCCTGCCACCAAAAAGTGTTTTCAAATGCTCCAACTGACCGATGCATGATGCTTGATAATGAAATGTTTTTGCAGTCCTCCCCATGAGATTCAGGAGAGTGGTTCGTCGCTTCATAGGCAAAGGCCGAGGAAACTTAAATTTTCCTTGGCTATTCAGCTGTCATGGTATCATATCTAGAATGAGGGTAGTCACTGCGGAAAACACCAACTGTTTTTTTCATCAACAACCCATTATCGGTAGAATGACTATTGGAGGACCATCATAATAATAAGAAAGAAATTGCTAAAAAGACAACATGCACTGCTTTTGCGGCCAAGGTGCTCTTGCGGCTGTGGTTGGTGCAACCCACTATCCAGACACGACGCCTCTTTTGAGGCAAGCCACCGAAGCTCCAGCTGTCGAGGATCTGTCAAGGAGGATGATAAGAGATGCTGGTTCAAATGGTTCATACAGTAATCGATGATCAAAAATCGATGATCAAAAATGATCACATATGATAATAAGTAATATCATACTTCAAGTACAAATAATGGTGTCATGACGATGTGGTAATGTTGTTTATCAGACTTGAAGTCAAAGCATCAGAATCAGGTTGGTGAAACCTACTACGGGGGCCTTCCACTGCACGTTGTAATACCCTCGTGCTCTCAACCTTGGTTGAATCAAATATTAAAACGATTATGTGACTCACATCAATGGTTTTGAATCATGTTGATTCAAATGCTGCTTAGGAACAGTCTTAGGAGGCTCAAAAAGAATTTTCTGTGTCGTTTGAAAGTCATCCCAACGACGTTCTCGAGAACAAAGGTTTCGGGACGCCATCGAAGTATCCTGCGGACTACCTAGGTTGATTGAAATTGATCAGAATAAAATGGCATTGGCTGAAAATCATATTAAACATCCCTTAAACAATTCATGCGATTGAGGCACAGATTTTGCAACCTTAGATCGCTTGTCAGCCTTCCCTCTCCGCCTCCCAATGGAAGAGAATGGCTGACATGGAAAGCCTGATCCATAGACGTGGATTAGCTTCTCCACTCCTGGGATGGAAGAAAATGGCTAGACATGAAAAACTGGATGAGTAAATCGCCCTCTTTTGCCAAGAAACCTTTGTACTTCGCACAGTCTGCAGATATCTTCTGAGGGTGGTAAAGATCTTTGAGACGTTGACGAAGCGCAGGATCAGATTCGCTCATGTAGAAGACTTCGGTTTTAAAGCCAAGCTTCCTAGGCAGGTGTTGAACCAACGGGGCTAACGGTGTTATGACTTCTTTCAAACTTCATTCAATTTGAAATGACATTTGACAAATGTGTTGTTTTTTCCGAGAAACTTGCAACATGGAACCAATGGTCCCAGCCCGGCGCAATCTTCGGCAAGAACGAGTTTTTTTGTCGGCATGGCCCCTATGATAGCCGACAACCCCTTAAAGTAAGAGCCAAAATTTGAAACGATAATCAAACGATGACAAATGGCTGGGTACCAATAGGTTTCCCCTGTTCCTCAATGACTAATGCATGGCATTCAATCTTTTTGGACCCCAAACTGAGCAGCTACGCGCGCGTCAAGCCAGGTCTAAGCCATACCCACTTGGAAACACATTGCTTAAGTGCAAACAACGTTTGATTTCAAAACTCCTTTGGGTGTGGCAGAGGTTTTGTGGGGAATCACATCAGCTTCTTCAACTTGTTCAAGACATTTCCAGCCTTCTTGCTTCCGGCCTTCAAGGGTGACAGTGAATGTGTAACATTGAACTAAATTTGGGAGTCACTAAATTTGATGATCACAACCAACATGAATTAAGGATAACTAAGGGGCACCTTGGGGCGTCCCTTTGCCTTCGGCTTTCCTTTCGCCTTTCCCTTTGCTTTGCTGGCCGCTTTGGCCTTAGCCTTTCCTGCACCCTTTCGGCGTGGCTTTGGATCCTCCATCTCTTCGTCCTCCTGCTCTTCCTCCTCATCTTCCTCCATCGGGTCGTCATCTTCTTCTGGCTCTTCCTGATCCTCTTCCTCGTCCTCGTCACCTTCCTCTTCTTGCTCTTCCTGTCCGTCGTCCTCATTATCCTGCTCCTCGTCATCCTCACCTTTGTTTTCTTCATCTTTTTTCGGCTTTCCCTGAACAGTTTCTAGGTTGTTGTCATGATCCTAAATGTTTGAAACACAACCTCACAGTTGACGCTGACAGGTGGCCTTCAGGTTCTTCGACTTTTTCTTTTGGACCAAGGCCAGAAGGGTTAGCTCGAAGATGGGGGATTCGGGGTCCAGCATTCCTTCCCAGCATTTCAACTCGAGCCTTTTGTACAGCAGCTTTGCCTTAGTTAATCTAATAACTTTGATAATTATCGATATCCGAGAGGAACAGCATTCAATGATTGACTCAGAATTGAATTGAATGCATTGTTTTTGTTCAAAGACACAGCCAAACATTGTCAAGTCACATGGTCTTCGGTGAAACACACACCAATATAAGCTACCCTTTGCAAGATAGCTTCCCATGCTGTCTTTCCATCACCTTGACGGACGATGATGACACTGAGAAACATTGGGTCAAAGACTTGTTGGTTTATGATCGGTGGAATCATGTCAAGTTGTCCCATCTGTCAATTGATTAGGAATAACCTTGTCAAGCGACAGCAACTCAAATCCAACATGGCTGAGATGTTGAACTCATGGAAGACTTCAGCGACCTCGGAATTCATTAACTCGTTAGTCATGACTTGGGCCAGGCTTGGTCAAGAGTCGTTGGTATGACGAATGATTGGTAACGTTTGAAACTGTTGAATTTTCTTTGGATTAATCTGTCCCATGTAAACCTACGTCACCCTTTCCCACGTGCTGTCAAACGTGCTGTCAAAAGACCGCTTCGCTAGGCAGAGAGTGATATGCGACGGGCTCCACGTCAGTGTCCTTGCGTCGGATGCCTTAGTGGTGAGATGAAGTTTGGCTGGGGTGGATTGGTTGATATGATCTGGAACATATTTTTTTAATCAAAAGCATGGCACCCTTCTGGTGGTCGGCGACAGGTTCATCAGCACGCCCACCCACAGCGATTCGGTTTGCAGTGCCATAGAGCAGTTTCTTCTCCCCATAGGTCACCCTCCATGTTTCTTTCTCATCCTTAGCTGGTATATTTGATAAAAACTTGGTTTCAGATAAGCGATTTAGTTACTAGTCAGCAATATGTTGATGCAATGAGCCCCAATAATCTGATAAATAAAATTGAATCATAGCCCCATAATAATAATGTTTTCAGGTACAGTAATGTTTGATACTAAAAGACATGGATGAATCATAATCTGATTGCAAGCCAAAATTAAATCAAAGTATCGTCCCAATCTGGCGCCAAGACTGGGCCGATGCAGTCTCCATGACTTGTGCCTCCATAGTGGCGTCGTTTCTTGTAGACCAGCCCCGCCTCCTCCCCAAGAATGAAGTGGAGGGCGCTCCAGTTGACCCACCACGCTGCCCTTATTTCTGTTCTTGTTCTTACGGATACTAGTCTCATCCCACATCAGGAATTTCTGGCTTTTCCACTTTGTCATTGAGGTAGTTGCACTCGGTTTGATAGCCCCCAGCAAAGACGAGGAAAGACCTCGGTTCATCATCTTTACTCCAAGTTCATCATTATGTTTGGGGACACGCAGCTAGCTCTGATTGACGCAAACCTCAGTGCCACATGCTGACAAGATGCCTTCGCGGCCTCCGTCCATGATGATCATGCAGTCGCCCGGGCGCATTGTGCCATTTTCAAGCCTGAGGCCGAGTGCGCTCATGAACAGCTTCCCATGACGACCTTCACGCAAAGGTGGCACCCGCAGGCTCGGCTGGGTGCCAGCTTCACCTGCTAGCTTTGTGTCCTTATTTGGATCAAACATGGTTTCGAAAGTTCAACTAAGATGAAGACTGCCATTTAATGTGTGATTGTCAAACATACATCTACTCAGGCCTTGTGAATGTTCTCACTGCCAAGAATCAAAGTAGATCACCACCGACTTGAAGATTTGGTTCCTGAGCATGGGTTCGGTTAATCAGTTAATCTCAGCTTTTGATATTTGAAGGGCTGAAGAACATATCATTGGTTGATTTGACTGACTCATTCTAACAAGTTGTGTCCAGATTCGTCTCTGGATCGATTTCCCCTTTCCACTTAGTGAAAGAGGTGGTTTCCAAAGCAGCTGTCATGGCCTGAACATTGTCCTAGCCAACGGGGATTGTCATGTTGGGTTTAAATGTAATGGGCTGACCCGTCATTCAAATGGATAATAAATCTGAAAAGGGTGGGTCCTCCTCCACGATGAGCTTTACATGGGTTCGCACCATATTGCAGGCCTTCAGCTTGAACCTGAGTTGGCGTCAAGCAACGAATTTTTGGGCTATGTTTAATGATGATCAACCAGGGCTATGTTTAACCATGATGATCAACCAGGTAAGTACCCAACGCATCCAATCTTCGCAATGACTCCTCATCCAAGTCCAAAGGCTCACCATCTGTCGACTGGTTTTTCGTTCCCCTCTTTCTGGTCTTCAGGACTGATTCGGGAACCTGACCAATTCAATCAAAATGGCTGACTGAAGTTCAGATTGCCGAAGTAGGTATTGACTTAGTAAGTAAAGCCCTGCTGATAGTACCACCACTGAGCCAGCCTTCAGGTGGCCGGTTCCTTTCTCATCCTCCTCCATCTCCACAGGTTCTTCGACCAGTTGGACGTCGTCCTCGTCGTCCTCAGCATTCTCCTGCAGGCGCCCAACAGGAATTATCATCAGGGGAAGTTTATCTTAGTTAGTTGATGTATGTCATTGTTGTTGGTTCATCAATCAACTTACTCGTACAAGTAGGTCCTCACCACTTTTCTTTTTGGCTTCTTTGATTTCTTTGTCTGCCTGCCTCATGAACCGTGATATCAACAAACTGATGGGTGAAACCTGAGATTTCCAAGTATGAGACACTTCGTCATTTATTATTGATCAGATTTGATGGGCATTAAGCCAAGAAACTCTTGGATGGTTCCAATGCGGTTCTCGATCTCAGAGTGTGCGCACCATTCACTCACCTCAGTGGTTGATGTGATGCAGCTGAATTTATGAAAGTGTTTTTTTGCCATGAAGATATTTGAATGTCAATTTCAATGCCAAAGAACCGATTTCCTGTGGCGTACCATGTTTTTGAAGGTTGCTTCGAAGGTGTTGCTGAACAGGCAATCCTGACTGCGATAAAGACGAATTCCACCCAAAAAATTGTAGATTTAAACACAACAGTTTTGACTCAGGAACATGTGTGTCCTCCAAAAAGGACCAAAATAGTTCCGCAGACTTTGGCCAGCCTGGCTGCAAAACCCACCGGCTAACACCCCAAGTGACATGGTACCAAACCGGCCTGCTCTCCAGGTCAAGTCTTTCTTCTCGTGGGAATAGCCACATTTCCTGAAACATCAATGGTTAACCCTGTCAATGATTGTTCAGGCATCTATGATAATCGTCATTACAGTAGATAAGAAACATTTTTTGTTTTAAATCATTAACTAGTTCCATGCACTTATCAATGATTGGAAAACTGCGTTATGTTTGGAACTAAAAATGATTTATTCAAGTTAAGGCACGCCCGGAAAGAAGCATGGTCTTTGCAAACCTCCCGCATCTCGCTGATCAGTTCAGATTTCCATCCCCATTTCCTGAACAAGTGCTGGTGAGTCTGAGGTTTATAGTTGTCGTTCTGAATCGAATGATTGAAACAACATTTAATTCATCAGTATTATAGTCAGTGCAATCATACTTGACATATTTTACTTGAGGCAAGAAACGGAACATACTGGGCAAACAGATGCTCGCGAAGGTCAAGCTGCCCAGTGAAAACGTCACACGTCCCCTTTCCATGCAGGGAATTGTTGATTCCCCTCCAGGTCAACATTTCGGGCCCAACATGGCCATTTTTCCAGCCATCATACCTTAGTTGGCAATAATGTGGGGTTCCAGTATCCAATCAAACCATTTGTTCGGGCCACAGTTACAAGTGTCTAATCAAACCCAAATCCAATTCAAATCCCGTTTGCATCAAGCTACATGGCACAAAAACACCATTCCACATTGCGGGGAGACTTGGCTTTGTGCACTATGACCTGGAGCTTGGTGTAGCTATTGAAGGGGTTCGCATCACTCGGACACTCATCTGCTTCCAGGAGAAGATCCAGAAGTTTGGTGTTGGAGAAAACCCGTTTGTGCAAGGAGACGGCGGTCTCGACAAACGATTCAGTGACCTGGTCGGGAAAGATCAAAGGGTTGTGTATCGGGGTTTACCATAAATCAATCAACCACAAATTTAATTGAATTGAATTGAATTATGAGTGTTTTTACTTTCAGTATCATGACTGACTGGTTGAATGTGAAATCAAGTTGAACCAGCCTTCTCATTGTCATTGCTTGCTCTGAAGTGCTCCATGTACATTTTGGAAAAAGCTTCGCTGCCTTTGCTCAACCATCGCAATTGATAATAATATGTTGAACATTTAATCAACATCATCAGTGATTAACTGCAGCTTTGTTACTCAACGCACCATGGATCTTCTCAAGGCGTGCTTTGCAAGAGATCACCGAAAACATTTTTTGCAAACAAGTATGCGTCATTGTCTCACGGTCAGACATGATATCTTGCCGAAGGTTTGCGGCGAGAAAATATATGTCTGAATCGCTGGTCGCAATGGAGTATTCAAACTCCACCTCAGTGAGATAGCATGTTATTTTGACAAACTCAAATCCATCAACATTTGAAGTGTTACACAAATTCTTTTGATTTGCAATCTATTCATGTCCCCGGTGGGTGGAAGTTAGGTGCGACATGTTGATGGTGATGAAACTGATTAATATCGGATAATCAATTATTCATTTTCCAATGATTCCTATTTAAAATATCCATATTCCTTAAAGTTGAATAAGATGTTTCTATGACAGAGTCATAATCAATTGATATCTTTTAAGTCTTTATGATTATGGGTTTAAGTTATGTTTTCATTCATTTCTGTCATAAAAACATATTATGTAATTGTTATCCCTTATATGTGAGTCCAGTGGCAGAAAGCGCATATCGCTTCCACTGAGCAATCTTCTCTTCATCTTCGTTGTCCCTGAACATTGACCTGGGCTGCCACGATTATTGATTAGTCATTTTGTTGAAGGTTCATTGACTTGAGCATATTGACAAACCATAATCATATTCGAGGGGCAGCACAAAACCCATCACGTTTTCCACGGGAGATCCTGGCTTGACCTTCTGGGGGTCGCAGGACAAATGCCAGTCTGGCGATATGGCAACATGAATCCTGGTGTGGAACCGAGCTGGGTTTTCGTAGTATCTGGCGCCCAGCTCATTGATACTCTTTTGTCTCAGTGGCACCTTATCTTTTCAGCAGGGACGATTTGATGTTGAATCTCAGCCACCATCAACAAAATTTGGCTACTGCTGACTGATGATGACAATCTGAACTTGCTGAAAAATAAGATTGTGACACTAGGGTCTGCATTGAACAAGAGGTCACACTTGAAGATCGATTGAGAGCATACATAGCTGGACGAAGGGTTTGCCACGCCACCGGGAAACAACGCAGCCTTCAACTGGTCCACGTCAAAAACTGCCTCAGATTACTAGTACTTAGAATCACATTGCTAAATTGTTTTTGGATGGTAGTAGTAGATGTTGAACGAAATCACTGAAACAAACTTTTGATTTTCAACATCATTGATTTCAAGAAACCTGGTTTGCGCCCATTCCCAGCGGCAGAGGCTCTTCATCGAAGATGCCTGGCCACGTGTTCCTGGTGAGCTCCTCAAGGGCTTCAAAAGTGGAAGTCATCAGCTCCAAGTTATACTTGGCTCCTGTCGGGGCGACCGGGAAATAACTGTTTGACCTGAGCCTGGGTAGAATGAGAGATGATAATAACGAATGATTCGTTTTAAAGGAATCACTAACCTGGCCTGTGGAAGCCAAAGCTGCGGCATTCTCTGCATCTAGAAGCGGGGCTATGGCGGCTGAAGCCTTTGGCTTTGCCTTCCCCTTGGCTTTGGGTTCTAGATCACTATTTTTTTTTTTCGGCGGCATGGCCCGCCGACTGCCCGAATTGATCCAAAATCCGCTACAGCGGTAGAAACGATTGATGATCTGATTCAGGTAAACAAACATTTGGGTATGTCTCAAATTGACGTGCTTTTTTCCCCTCTTTAAAGCAAACATTATTACCCTTGGCAGGGGTAATTTTTTTGGACCCAAAAGGGCACCTCATTTTGAGACATACCCATTTGAAGTTTCATTAATTCAAGGGGTACTAAAAATAATTCCCATGATCGAGTATGGTTGGTACCACTAGTGATGGACCCGTTAGTTGCAACTATAAAGCTGTTGGCATTGGCTTGGACGTTGAACCCCACCATTGATTGACACCCTGAGGTGAAAGATGACCACACGGTGCGGAAGGCCCCGTCATGCGGTGCCAGGGTTTCTGAACATGTATCATTTAAATCCAGTCATCGTAATAATATCCGTTAGCAATCCCAAAACCTTTATAGTAATTTGATGACAGCACATTCAAATCAGCATTCTGACGGTGAAGAAACAATTAACTTGCCATTATGTTTTGAACTTGTGATCTATCTTGATAGGATGACAAGTCATTTGACCCAATGTAGGAGGAACCATCAACTGAGTATGATGTAATTCGTCACTGTTGTTACAAGAATCCGTTCCCATTTCTGGTGCCCATCAATCTGAATTGCAACCAGATTAATTTAATTATGAATTATTTGCTCAAACAAATTATATGTTAATAATAATTATGAAATAACATTCATAATTAGTTCAAATGATTTGCTAAATCAGCTGTTCAATGCAAGATGATTTTCTGAACAATTCCCCTCCTGAATATTTTTAATTTTCCACCTGTACTTAAGCAAATCACCTCACACCATATGGGGGTCGGTAGCCCCCCTCCCGTGTGAGGTCCTGAGCGCTCAGGACCTTGTACCTCCTCACCCCAGCGTAGATTGGGGCAGGCTGTTTGACCTTGTAGCCCCCTAGTTGGAATTTTTTTCATCTGTAGTTAAGATATTCACCGAGAGGAGGTACAAGGTCCTGAGCGCTCAGGACCTCACACGGGAGGGGGGCTACCGACCCCCATATGGTGTGAGGTGATTTGCTTAAGTACAGGTGGAAAATTAAAAATATTCAGGAGGGGAATTCACTGCGAATTCATTCCTTTTCAGTAGTAGGCTTGTACCACGTACCCATTTGAAACTTTGGGGTCATCGCACAAACAGAATCAGCAGCCAGCATTCTTTCCCCAAATTTCGCTCAGTGGGCACACCACTGCTAAGGCTAAAGGTCAAAACTAATCTCATTGCTTCTCCCCAATCATGGCATATACTTAAAATGACTGGTGATTCAACATAATTTAATCAGAACTAAAATGACTAAGCCAATTCAAATAAGTTACCGATTCAGAAACTTCTTCCAGTAGCACAGGTAACATGAAAGACAGCAACGATCATGCTTGAGGAACTCATTCTTGACCCAAACTTTTGGCATGGTTGTGCTACCGAGGGCGTACTCTACCAGCAATGACTTAAGACAAATGCTTCGGACTATGGCCAACTAAGGGTGAGCCATTGAACATGATTTGCATTTGATTTAATCCTGGTTTTATGAAGTGAGTTTCAACTGAACTTCAATCAGTTTTTTCAATGGCCCCGATCCAACATCACTGCAATGTTTTCACTAAAGTGATCTAAGATCTATAGAGTAGAAAACAAAGACGCAACGGCTGCCCAAAAAAAAGTGTTTGAATCACATAATGCAGTTAACGTTCAAATCATTGTATCATCAAAGGCACTCAGAACAGCTCGCAGCTTGTTTCCCGTGACTGGCTTGAATTTCCCCATTCAAACCAAAACGCAGTTACTTTGACTTGCGTTTGTGCCAATGACGAACCATTGGTTTGTTGGCATCAATTTCTAAAAATAGATTCACCGCATCATTCGCTGTGATTTTGAACATGATGTCCTTCAATTCCTCAGATTTGATTTGACCAAGGGCTTATTTGCATGAATTGTAGATTCACGCTAGATTCAATGAATTCTCAAATTCCGAATGAAATTCCCTCACCAAAAGCCCAGCTTCGGAATCACCACGTTGCTCACCTTCTGTCACGAAGGCAGTTGCAGTGGCTCCGACCGTTTTGAACCTCGCAGCTCTCTCCTGAGATGCAACCCGGATGCAGCCAAAGGGATGGAGGGTGGGCAGTGGAATGGTCAGCAGGCATTTATTAAGCTATGAAATTCGCCAAGCGGCCAAGAACTCTTGTTTATCATCAATCAGCGTCCAGGGGTTGACGGAGCTACTCACCACTGCCGCAACCCGGGGATACTGCGCACGAAATAACCCAGACATCCAGCATATTCTTCTCACCGAACATGGTACCTTCCTGATTAGTAGGGTGCGGCTAAAACTGTGGAACATGCCCATTTGAAATTGTTGAAACCATAATGATGGCTATCTTCCAAAATTTAGATGCAGTCCAGGCACTTGTACCCAATCAGCATCCCATCGGACCCTCTGCTGATGAAGTATTCGGCTGTGGCCAAGTACCTTTGTTATGAAATAATTGGAGGAATCATCGATCACCAATAATAATACCAGGTTAATAAACAAATGTGCCAATTAAGTTGGATAATTTCCAGGATTTCCAAGGAACATCCCCTTGAAGAATGCCAAGAACGCCGCAGTGATATGAGGTCTCAATGGGTTTGATTGGATAGCAATGTTGACTTCCTGCCTCAGATTTGGAGACCCAATGTTCACAACCAAGAAAAATTTTATCAAGTGAGGAATGACATCGAACATGGGCATGATAATTAAGGTAAGGAGAACCAAGACACGCTGATGTGGTCAACTTGGCACCCGAATCACGAATGGCATTTCTGATCTTCTGGGTTGACACAGGAGTTGCCAGCAAGACCCTCATATCCTTGAACTCAGGAAGCTTTTTGGTCGTGACTTCCAGGGCTAGATCACCTTAGTTAAGGGGAGAGTATGTTCAGCCACAATCCAGTAGTAGTAGAGACATAATAATTTGTGATATTTGAACCAATAATGAACTTGAATTAAGGAACGTTTTTGGACATCTTTCAGATATGTCTTCTGACGCTTGGCATCAGCCACTTCCTGTTCAGAAGCCTCTCTGGATAATCGCCTTCGTTTTCGCCCAGAAGCGAAAATCAAGCCTTGTCGAAAGGCCCTCAAACCTTGGTTGCATACCGGGGGTTTTGCAGAAAACAAACTGGATCCAGGCATGGTTCATAAACCCAGTCTAGTGTTCAATCTTGATAAGGTTCAGGGGCGTACCACATAAGAAGTTGGTTTGGATTCCGGGTGTCATCCATAATATCCATAATGGGTGAGCGTAGACAATTAATAACTCTGATGGCTCAAATCATCAACTTAAAAAAAAAAAACTACTATAGAGCAGGGTCCAAAACACCAAATATGTTTTCACTCAGTCAAAAAACATATATGGAAATTAGACCAAATCACGTTTCTGTTTCTCTTGTTCAGAACTGCGATTTCTTTCCTTTTGATGATCTTGTGACCACATAGCCGATGCTAGTCGCCGAACTTGTTTGGAACCATTAGGACAGTGGCCATTCGATTTAACCGCTGCCTTCACATTCTCCCTACGCCTCTTCAGCCAACTAGATGCATTTGCCCAAGCCAATGTCTCACGTGATTGCCCAGGCCCGGTCTGCTTCTTGGTGCGTCGCATGCAAAGCCGCTTGGTGGACTCAGCGCTGGCTTTTCAGGTATCATCACTCACCAAGGGATTACAATGGCCATCAAACTTGATTCACGGAACCAATTTCAATGAGGTAGTACTTTCAAAAGGCCGTGATTGTTCCCGATATGCAAAAACTTGACACCAAGAAAATTATTTCAAGTCAAGCGACTTGTCTGTGTGAACCATAATGCGTCGCCTTTGCTTTTCGGCAGGTGATCAAGATAGATAAACTCACAGAAGTAAGTTCATTGGTGGCCCAATCAATCAAACCCCAACAACATAGAGTAAAGACTACCATTGTTGCAGGTAGGGCTCCCATTCTTGTTGCGCCATCATGATGAGCCTCAAAGGCCGCTTTCGGCTAGTGATGTCAACTTATGTTAGGATTGCCAACACATGAAATTACAAAACAATAATAACATTCCCAGAATTGAAAACCCAGACATTTCGGGATTGTTGAACTGAACCTTACAAGATGGTTATTTATTTTGGTAGTGATTAAACCTGCTACTGCTACTATAATATTAATCATAGGTAACTTATGATAATTATTATTAGTAACTAATAGCAGGTTTATTTATGATTTAGTTTCATCTTTCCCCGTTAATAGTAATCAGTGATCATTCTTTGACAAGTTGATCTTAACCCGGTCTTAGTGGGAAAAAACAAAACTTATCAGAATAAGAATCTCCGGCACTCATCCCTTTTGTGTTCAGGGTATTGGATAGCCAAGACTTCATCATTCGCCAGGGAAGTAGGGATTTCTCTCTTCACGTGTTTTGCCCAAGACCCGATGGAGAAACTCCGTTCCACCCCGGATGAACTGAAACCCCATGCAGCGCATCGGATGAGCACGAACTTGACCAGGTCCATGGGTTTCCTCTTCTCCATCTTTACCTCAGGCGGCTCATGCATGCCACGGGTAACACCTGTGGGTACAAGTGAAATTAAGAACATGGGGTACATCTGATGGGGTCGATCATTCAGGTAAAATCTCAAATCATATAACAATAATAAATAGTCAATAAATTGATTTTAGGTTAATAACCGACCTAAGTAGTAGTGATTGATTATCATTGATCAATGGCTTAATGGATGGTGACCTGGCGTGTAACCAACTTGGACGGATGATCATTGCCTACCAAGCGGAGATCTATGGCGGCAAAAACCCTCGTGTGATAATGTGTGCAAATGTGAAGTGCCACTGGGCTACGGCTAGGCACAAAGACACAATGGTTGCAAAGGCTATGGTGCCAGTACGGAGACCACACAACTG